CTTCGTATTTTATTGCGTATTTCATATTGGTCTAGGGAAAAGTTTCACGAATCATTTCTTTGAGTCAAGAAATTACGGTTTGGTGACGATATCAAAAAGGCGCCACTTCATGTCTTAAATTTCTTTTTCCAGAATCTCTTCTAAAGGATATAATATGATCGGGAAGGAAGATGGATTGCTGCAGGAGTTCTTCGAGAAACTCTTTTCCCTAAAAATTCCTTCTTTACGTTTTAAGTTACCATCGCATATAGATGTCTGAAAATCGACAGAAAATAGGACGATATCATTAGGTCCTAAGTTTTTCTATCGATATGTACGGCTCTACGATGACTAAATAAAATCTAGCTTTACTGACGAAAACTATTACAAACCAATGACATCCAAAAAAATCAACAAATCAGTTTGTGCGTCTATGGATCTCACAGAAAAATTTTAGAAAAACTCTGACGTGAACAAAAACTTTTGTTGCAAAGAAAAACTTCAATTGAGGTTCTATTATTTCGTGATTTTTTTGATGAAACCGGAAGAACATGCGATTCACTTGGAACTTTATAAAGCCAAGAGTAGCATCAGTGTCAGCAAGCTATAATAAGGAATTATATACAACATTCGATCGACTTTTGAAAACTGTTATAAAGCTCGATTTTCTTTATAGTCGAAATCTTGATTACACTATCGTTTCATGAGAGCGAGTCGTCAACGTTAACGGCCGTTTATGAGTATATTCGATAAAACTCGATGATTGTACATTATACCGTTCAAAGTCGTCGTTTGCGATACTTTACGATATTATTCGATCATTGTTTACGATCGTCGTTTTCTTATGATGGTCGTAAACGGTAAGTTTTCACAGAGATTGTTTACTATGGTCGTAATTCAACGTGAAGCATCGTATATGGTTGTTGTAAACGGACAACGTAAACGACTGTCGTATTTTATCGTGATTTATTAGTATATGGTCGTTTACGGGTGTAGATGTGGGTGTGGCTATGACACAGAGCTAGGACGCAAGTATTTGTACTTGTACTTTTTGTACTTTTTCAAGTATAACGTACAAGTACAAGTATTTCAAAGATGTACTTGGTACTTGTACTTGTACTTAAGGAAGAGTACTTAGTACTTATTCCTTATATATATGCTATAATATCTTATTTGGTAATGAAAATACGTCGATTTCATTAAGCTTAGACCGTTTTTCATTATCCTGCAGTGATTGACTGAAGATTTAGGTCGTTTCAATACTCTAACTATAAATTTATGCATATTTTTTTATCGTAGAAATAAAGTTGAGTTAAGCACTATATTATTTTATTCCATTTATGTAGTGCATAAAATTATGTCGTATAGTTCTAACTAGAATCGTACATAGAAATTAAGGCCCATAAGATTGTGTAGTCGTTTGGAAGCATGTATTTCAAAAATGGAAATTGTAAAAATGTAACATTAATATAACGAGTACTGGCAAAAAAGTGAAGAAGAAATATATAAGTATATCGAAACTAAGAGTTAATTTTAAAACCATCTGTTAGATGAAGATATGGAATTGTTATGTAAACAGTACTGTTTAATATCATTTACTCATCTCATTATACAATGTGTTTTGCGTTCACTATATTTATTCTCACTATTATAATTAGAAATAAATATCATGAGAGAATATTAAATAAATTACGTTGTAAACTATCAGTGCATTATAATAATCAGATATAATAATCTTATTTCGAAAATATATATTGTATTTATCTCTCATGTACAAGTAACAAGTACTCTACCTAAAGTGCAAGTACAAGTATCAAGTACACTTCCTCAAGTACAAGTATAAGTACCAAGTACTCCTGTGCAAGTACAAGTACAAGTACAAGTACCAAGTATTTTTCTGCAAGTATAAGTATAATACTTGTACCTGCGGTACTTGTACTTGTCCTAGCTCTGTTTCAATCCATAGATCAAGTGTTAATGAATAAAAATTAGGTAAAGATGCTAGTTGATGAACAAGCGATGGTAAAATATCCGATTCAATACAATAAAGAGTAAGTGATTGAAGAGATTGAAATAATGATAGATTAAATTGAATTATTGAAATTATTTCAGTTGTATTTTTATTGTATGAATGAATTGATATTATTTGATGACGATGATTATGAAGAATTTCTTCATAATTATTAAGAAAAAGTTCTTTTGATTCATGACGATCATCATCTAATTTTAATCGTGTTAATGAAGAATTGAGAAGTAGTTGAAAACGATTGTTAAGATTTGAGAATCCATTAAAAATTTACATATGCATCAAAATAATCGAAAATTTCATAGAAAATTTCATTTGGGAAATGTTCGATTGTTGTTATTGACATATTAACTGAATATTTTTCTTAAGACTGACTGAATATCGAAATCGATTCTTATTCTTTCTTCTTTCGTCTATTACAAGAAATACAATTTATTTAACTTGCTCTAAAGAAAATTTTTCTAATTTTGCTGGACAAAATATTCCCGTCGTTTAGGATTAAGATATAACATATCTACATATTACTTCGGTTTTTTTTCCGAATAAATATTATGTAACTAAGAATAGAGAAATTCAAGTTAAATCAGCCGAATGTTCTTGTAGAAATTAATAAAATGAAATAACAGATAAAACAAAATTTTATTGGATTTTTTGAATCGTTTTGTAAATTTATTTGTTAATCCAAATTTCGCTAGAAAAAGTTTTCGTCAGAAACTAAATGAATGTTTGATCAAAATGAATAAATGTCAATTTTTTCTATTCGGAAAAGATTTTATTTCTTTTTTTTTTCTTGTATTAATTATGAAATTAATTAAGAATATTTTAATGCTTTTTGTGATTTTATTTCATGAAAAATATACAAAAAT